AAAAAAAAAAAAAAAAAAAAAAAAAAAAAAAAAACCGAAAAAAGAAAAAGCAAAAAAGATCAACTCACCTTCATCCGCCATTTGCACGCAATGTCCACGGATGACCACAAAGCGCTCGAAACCGTCGCATCGAAACATCACCGCACGAAGCAGCACACGATTGCAAAAGCCGGACCGGCAACAACCATTAAGATTGTCGAGCGGCCCCGGACTGGACGGCCCGATAGAAGTTTCGGGAACCATCTGCCGCAGATCCCCGAAAGGTCTATCGGGCCGTCCAACCCGGGCCTCGCCGGTCCGGCCCGCCCCAAAGGCCTCATGCCGTGTCTGTCGGGCCCGCCTACCGGTCCACCGCGTTTCCCAACAGCGGAAAGCGGGATCTCGCGGGAGCGTTAAGCGAGACCCGCTATTCGCATAAAGAGTGTTAAGGAAATCTTGTTTTTATTTTATTTTATTTTTTTGCCCGGCTGGTTAAGTGGTCCCAGGCCTCTCTGGTGGCCTAGGTCCTGATTCATTTTCCAGGAAAGTTTTTGTCATCAATGATCATTCACAATTTTTTCACAAGTTCAAGGAAACTTTCGGTGTTGAGTCAGAGAAACTTCTCAGAACAGCAATGTTCCATTTCATGAAACTTGGTAAGCAATATTGACACCAGCTTTCATTTCATTGGGAATTGATCATAACGATATCGTGGAAATGCTGCACGAACCCAAATATATAAAAACAGAAAGCCTTCGGCCTTTATACTGAACCAAATCGAGCCCGGAATCCAATAAAGAATAGCCATATTCATGATGGTTGTGCATATTCTTTTTTTTTTTTTTCACAAGGTTCTTTTTTTTTTCGTTCCTTCTTTTTTTCCATCACTAGACAAAGGCTTCCCAACAGCAATATCACATCGGATGAGGAAAGGAAACGCCGACCAACCAAATCTTTTTTCCATCAAAAGATTCAAAAGTTCAAAACAAAAACTCGCTCAGTTGCGGTTCCTCGAGTTTGCCGCCATTTTTAGTCACCAAATGGCAGTGTTCATCTGAAGCTGTATTTGTACAATTCACTCTGTGCCAGTCGAAGTGATCCTCGCATGCGAAAGCGTTGGGAACATACTTCAGTCCTACGTGATTCCACGAAGCATTGAACATGTTGTAGTACCGATCGAAGACCTGATCGAGGCAGTCGTTGCACGAGTACAGCTCGTAGATATTGTCGACCGGGCAGTCCGGTTTTGAACACTTGACCTCGCGCTTCAGCTTGTAGGAATATATCCTGACATGCGCGGGGTTGCTCCGCAGGTGCGCAGTCAGATGCCCCGAACCGTCACAAAATATCCCGCTGCAATCCAAACAGAACGCGAGATTGCTTCGGTTGCCGCATTGGCCGCATTTCGCATTGCACGAGTCGGCCCCGATTCCCTTGCACCTTTTGTAAAGTGCTCGCATCTCCGGCGTGTACGGCGTAAACGCGCGATCTCCGTTCTCCTCGTGCCCGGGCAGCGCAAGCTTGTATCTGTTGGGATCCGCCGGGGACGGCGCCGCTAGGCCGAGCGTCAACACGCAATCTTCTGCGAAATGCCCTACTCTTTTGCATTTCCAGCAACGCTGTGTGACTAAGCTGCTTCCCCGATTAATCCATTTATGTCGTCGGTAGTCCCAGCGTTCAGGCTCGGTGTCCGGTAACCGGAGCGCTCCTCGCGGTGCGGTGGGCGCCACAAACGACGATGTCATCGATCCCTCCGCAGCAGCTTCTGCCTCCTGTCTGGCTGCAAGCTCTTTGAGGAGCTCGTTCTTGCACTCGACGCTGCACACATCGTCATCCGTCCGATCACAAACGTATGCGCCGAATCGACCACAATTTGCGCAGACGGGCTCCCCTGGGGCCGGAAACCGTTGGTCTTTCCGAAGCTGGACGACATCCTCCGCACCCCTCACGGCATTGTTCTTATCCTCACCCAGCGGGTCGCATTCAGCATCTCCCTGCAGATCACCACCCTTCCGCACTTCGTGGATTTCGTTCTGCTCCGCCGACCTGGAATCCTCACCGCTTTTTGCGGAAGAACACAATTGGGATCTTTTACCCCCACTTTTCGCAACTCCCGCCGCATTTTCCCCCATCCTCTTTTTCGTGCCGACGCCCTCAGTTTCCAGCCGACAAGCGCTATGCTGACTCACGCAACGGTGATGCACATTATTATTTCTCTGATAGTCAACTTTCCGATCGTCCCCGGCTTTGACCTCTGCATCCTTGCTGCCCTCGTCATCTTTGCCACCGTCGTCATCCTCGTCATCGTCATCACCCTCGTCACCCTCGTCACCCTTGTCATCCTTGTCATCCTTGTCATGGTCGTCATCGTCGCCATCCTCGTCATCGTCATCTAGATAAGGTAGGTTGAGAAGATTTACATGGGTTTCTGTTGGGCTCCTTGGACCTTCGGTAGAGGCATCTTCACCCGAAAGGCGGCTTCCGTCCCGAGCGCACACAGTTGTCTGAGCGAAAAGTGATGTTCGGTCGTCCTTTGCCCTCGCTCCATCTGGAAGCTCCTCCCCTCGCTTCAGTCCCCGATTGCTGACATCAACCTTTTTCTGGGCGTCGCTGTCCTCCTCGTATGGGCAAAACCCCAACACAGACGTCGCAAGAGCTTTCGACGGGCGATACGACGACCCCTGCGCATTTTCACAGTCCGCCGATGGCTGCACGGAAGACTGCCTCTTTCGTTTTTGCACCCTCGCTCTGTGCAAATACCTATCCCGTAACTTTTGAAGAGACCCTTTCGGCGCCGGTCCCTTCCGACCCCTGAAGCCTCTCAGTTGATCTGACCCTGGATCATACGGGTTGAACTGTGGGGGTCCTTTACCACCCCCAGGTTTGCTCGCCGACCCCTCGGACTCTTTTGAGGGTCCTATTTGGCCGGGAGCGACCGGACTGTCCGCCTGCTGCAGGTCACCATCGCGACGCTCCAAGCGTGCCCCTGTCAGTTTCATGTACGTCTGCAAATTGTCGAGTATCGAGGACAGTTTATACTGTCCGCCATAAGCGTAAGCAGGAATCTTGTAGAAGTTTGTTCGCGTCCCCATTTTGTCGACCAAGAATCAAAAATAGCCAATCGAGACGAACGCTTCGCTGCAATTCTCATCCTGCAAAAATCCAGTTCACACAAGAATCCAGTTCACAGTTCATGCAAAACTCCAGTTCAAGCAAAAACTCCGTTCGCGTGCAATAATCCCGTTCACAGTTCATGCAAAATTTCAGTTCATGCAAGAATCCAGTTCACATGCAAGAATCCACTTCACAGTTCACACAAGGTTCATGCAAAAGTCCAGTTCATACAAAACTTCTGTTCAGATGCAAGAATCCAGTTCACATGCAAGAATCCACTTCACAGTTCATGCAAAAATCCATTCCACGTACAAAATCCAGTTCACATGCAAAATCCAGTTAAACTTCACATGCATAAAGAACTACTCGGAGGACCATAGACAGAAAGGTAGGAAAGGACAAGCAAAGGGGGGGGGGGGG